CTATCTAAAGGGTTCTTAGGTGGCAATTACCAGTACAATGGAGGACGAGACTTGAACACTGACCTGCGTGGCAGAAACATACTTCCATATCCTTAATATGAAGTTGTTTTAGAAACTGACTCCCTGCCTAGGGCCTCTATTTCCTGGCCAAACTAACATGTAGGTGTGGACCTGTGACCAGTTACTACAGTGAGCCAGAGACTGTCTTTTCCCTTCAGCTTGCTGGATTCAGAGAGCAACCCAAATACCACATATATACACACATGCGTACACCCCATAAATCAGTTATGTCATAAAGGGTCTGCACTTATCAGGATGGATCATGCATGATACTGCATCTCAAAACCAGTCATGTAAATATATCATCTGACTGACAGTGCTGTAAGTTTATGCATATTCAGCTGCAGCAAAAATAATTTTTACACACAGATCTGCCTCTGGCAGTACCTGCAGTGGTTTGGAGCCTTCAAGTTGAGAACTACTGGTATGAACTTAAGTTCTCTGCCAGCTGCATGACCCCAAAGTGCCTCATTATTTTTATGCAATTATAAAGTTTATGATTGAGAGGTATTCTTAGAGCAAGAAATGAACTAGACAAGAATATCTAAACAAACCCAACACAGTGTGTAATTCATTGGGAGAAACAGTAGGAAGGTAGGAGGGGTGACAATCCATAACACAGTTTATTACCTCCTTCTTTTCCCCACCTCTGACAAAACTTTCCTGAGGCATTGTTTTCATATTAAACGCATGAAATCCATTACCATTTAAAATGCATTATTTGTCTTCTAAATATTTTAATTGTTCCTAAAAGTGTTGGTGTAGTAAGGACAAACACTTCAGTGTAGATGCGCTTCAAAGAACCACACAAAAGCCCTGATGGGAGAGGAAACGGCAGTAACGGAGACAGGAACCTGCAAGGCAATCCACTCATTACCCAGGATGGTGGATATTAGGCTACTTAACCAGTGACCACTTTCGCTTCTTTGCTAAAAATGCCTTGATTTTGTTTAGGAGAGAAGTGGTGAGATCTTGATGCTAAGGAAGTTCAATCGCTTATTGGCCCCCAAATTATCTTTGGCCTAAACACGTATGGGTTATTCTACTCCACTGGGCAGTATGAGGTAAAGAGATTTCTTCTGGCAGATTCTAGGAAGATTTTCTTTCCTTTTAATAAAAAGTGGCTAAAAGAAGGCTATTTTTTTGTGGTGCCCTTTCTGTACACTGGAGTGTGCGCTGATGCCGCTCGGCAGCCACTAGGTGGCACACAGGAGCCGTGGAAGCTGAGACTGCAGATGTGGAAGTCGATGAGAAGCGGCCCAGTCCTGGTTGAAATCTAGGAGCCACTGAATGAAACCTCAGACAATGTGGGATTTTTTTTTAAAGAAAATTTGTTTAAAAAATACAAATACCCTTAAATTCTAAACTTGGTCAGGACTGTAGATGAAAGCCTTTCTAATTCCTATATCCAGGTCATGTAGCACTGATGAAAAGCACATAGTAAAGATAATTATCAGAATCAACTCTTATTTCAGTGCCTCCAGGCCTTTTTCTAAGTGCTTTAAATACATCAGTTCATTTAATCTTCAGAACAACATTCTGAGTTAGACATTAATGGCCGAAGAGGAAACTGAGATACAAAGATACGTAACTTGAGAAAGATAAAACACCTGTGACAAGAGAGTCCTGGTGTGGATAAAATGAGAGTTCCTGTGGTCAGGATTCTCACCTGGCCGTGGTTGAGCAGCTCATTACACACCTGTGGGCAATACATGGCTGTTGACTCCTCTATAAAAAGAGCTCCGCCCACTGCTCTGGGTGCTGCATGGTAGCAGGGCTGCAAGGCTGCAGGAGAGCAGAGCAGAGGCTGGAGTGGTGGCAGCACAGAGGACAGAGGCCCAGAGGACGGCTGTGCAGGACGACTATGTGGACAGAGGGGCCCAGAGGCAGAGACCGGCTTGCTGTACGCAGACTCGCTCTGAGTGAATGGGATTTTAGTGACTGACCTGCCACCTGGAAATAAAGTTGGGTATAACCCTTTCACCCCAAGAACGTTTTGCTGTCATTGTCTTTGGTCACACTGAATCCATAGCGAACTTTACCAGGGCTGAAACCCATTGGCAAAACATTTGGGGTGATGCATTGTCCAGGGGATTTAGAGGTGGTTAAGAGACAAAGGGCTAGGGATGTACCCCTGCTAAGTGGTTCCAAATGTTTATCTTTGAAGAGACATTAAGTTTCTTCGTAGTCTTCTGAGTTACTTACAAGAAATTTACTGCTCTGATTTCTTCCCAGGAGAGCAGCTTCAGGGTCTGGGAGCATACCGAGACTGCCTGCTTTGCTCCCAAGGTGGGCTGAGTTATTGTCTCTTTATTAAAAAGTATGTTAAGAAACTTACTTTTTACCTAATTGGGTTTTAAAATGCAATCTTTTTTTCAAGATGGAGTCCTTCCTGTTCATACTACCTTGTTCTGGGCTTGCTTGCTACATTGCCCAGGTTGCAAGTCATTTTGTTTAGGGCTGGAGAAAGAAAAGCAGCACCTGGGTAAAGTCAGAAAAATAAACTGGGCCCCCCGGCGGGCCAGAGCAAATACCCCAATGGATTATCTTGCTTTGTTACCCCCCCCCACCAGGCCCTCACCTTACTCTAACTAAGCCCATGGTCCCTGTCTCACTTTTGTTCATCTGTGAAGTGGGAATAATAAAATTATTTAGTATTTATTGTCTCATAGCAGGGTATGAGAATCATTTGCTAATGAATCTAAAGCACTATTTCATAGTGCCTAATTTTTAGTAAGAGCTCGAAGTGTATTGTTATTTACAATAAATACAAAAAATCCATTTCATTTTGTGTTACACGCTCTTTGGAAAATAAAAAGTGGCTTGTCCAATGAAGTGCTGTGGCTATGTAAAATTCATTAATTATTTAGCCATTCAACAAACCGATAAACCTTTATAAAATATTGTGGGAGCTCTATTGGGAACTGAATAACTAAAGAATAAATTCTTGTGGTGAATAAAAGAAAAAATTGCAAATATAAAAAAAACATTTTCTTTGCCTGAAGCGATCTTATTTAAAAAGAAATAGGAACAGCAGTGTATTAGTCATGGATTTCAACAAAAAAAGGACCAGCTGATAGAATTTATATGTCCATATATAGATTTATTTTAAGGAATTGACTTGTATAGTAGTGAGGGCTGGCAAGTCTGAAATCCACAAGGCAAGCCGGCGAGCTGGCTATCAACTTCAATTAAGACTTGCAATGTTGAGTCTGAAATCCACAGGCAGGCTAGGAACTCAGGCAAGTGTTTAGTTTTGTTTTGGGGGTTGGTTGGTTTGGGGTTTTTTTTTGTTGTTACAGTCTCTAGCTGAATTCCTTCTTCCTTAGGAAACTTCAGTCTTTGTCTTTACAGCCTTTAACTGACTGGATGAGGCCCACCTAAATTATGGAGGGTAATCTGCTTTACTCAGAGTCCAGTGACTTTAATGTTAATCACACAAAAAAATACAGAGCAGCATTTAGACTTGTCTGACTGAGCACTGGGGCACTTTAGCAGAGCCCGGCTGACGCGGAAAATTAACCGTCCCAGGTGCTCAACTGCCGCATGTCCCTTGTGACCAAACTGCTCGGTGATACTAAAGCACAGTTTAGGGGGCAGCTGGGACTTAGGCAGTTCCCATAATTAGAATTAAAGGGTGCTGCAGTCCTCTTCTCTCTGAGGTCACCCCACAGGTTCTCTTTTCCTGGTTCCTCTGGCAGAAAGACAGGCTTTCTCTTTAATTTTATCTGTTTAGCCTTCTACTCAGTTCCACCTCCGAGCAAAACCATGAGGGAAAAGAGGGATTGAAAATGGGGAGTTCTTCCATCATTGAAAAACAGGGGCCCCTTTTCCTAGGTTTTCTACCCATAAATATGGGGCTTTTACCCAGTCTTAGCCACCTTCTCCCCTGCCACCATATAGGTCCTGCCCTCACCAAAGAGCCACAAAAGAAAAAAGAAAATGGGAAACTCATGCCCCCTTACAATGTATCTGCTTTTGTGCAGGTCCCAGGTAATTGCTTTTGGTATTTTGTCCAGAGTTTTAAGTTATAATCGGTGGGAGGGACAGTAAGGTGGGCTTCCTCCAACTTGAGGTGAAAGTAGGCTCCGTCCATCCTGACCAGAACCAGGTACTTCATTGTATTTATATTTGATTTCTTATCCTCTTTCCCCTTTCTGATTTTTTTCATAATCCTCTATCTTGTTTTCCATCATTTTGCTGATTTTGTTCTATGTACACCTCACATACTAGCTGTATCTACAACTATGCCAATATATCTATATAGCATATATGTATATATATGAAGTGTACATCACACTATACATGTATATAGTATTTTACATACATAGTGCATACATGTATAGCATTTCATTGTTACCTGTACCAGTATTTATCATATCTGCTGTTAGGCATTTTTGTTCCTACTTTGGGGCTGCTACAAATAGTGCTATTATAAACATCCGAAACATGGCTTTTGATGAATATATATTTTTCTTTTGCGTGTGTACATTGGAGTAAGATTGCTGGGTCATAGGATATGCATATTTTCAGCTTTAGTAGGTACCCAGGAATATTTATTTTAAAATACTTTCCCACATAATTCTGTGTACAGCCAAGACGGTGAGTAGGTGCCATTTCCTCCTTAGCTGCAGGCCCACAGCACTTCCGCAGCGCCTTGCGTCCCCCTCAGACGGGGAAAGCCCGGCTGCTGAGGCCCCAGAGCTCACTGCGCAGCCCCCAGCACCCCCACTTCGCCCGAGGGCCCAGGGCCCCTCCCGCTCCCTCAGGACCCACGTTCCCTGACCTCACACCTACTTCTGGTTTTGTCAACACCACGGACGCCTTCTTTTGTCGTTCCGGAGTTTTATCTCCCTTGCCCCCGATGTTGGGGACCCCTTAGCACTGGATGACCAGCCCCTCTGTCCTGGCATCTGTCTGTCCCACTGAGTTCTCAGTGCTCATCTTCCACCAGGGGAAAATCCCAACAAAGGAAACTCGGAGTCTCCAGTTCTACTGGTACCTTTTTGATCTCGTTGCTTCCCATTTCCTTCTGCATGTGCCGCTTCCTTGTCTCTCAGCAGCAGCTCCCCAGCTGAAAAGAGCAGGTATGACTCCCAGATCCGGTCAGCAGTGTCCCGGAGCCAGTCCTGCGATTGTCCCCTCCCACAAGGACGTGCAAAGGGGGCCACAGTCACCACACAGCCCGCTGCTTGCTGCCCCTGCCCGGTGCGCCTCGGGAGTCCGGCCGAGGTGACAGAGACGGGAGACGAGACACACACCGGCCACGTCCCTCGCGGGACTGAGTGTGAATACGGGCAGATGCTGCACCAGGAATCAATTTTATGCATGCGATTGGAATAGTCCAAATGCAGGGTGTGGATGAAACTTGACTCAGGGGCAATTTTTTAATGTTTCAAAGGGAAATTAGACAGTGGTATCCATGGTTCACGACTCTAGACTAATTTAATTTTTGTAATTGAATTTTTACTGACTGTTTAGAGTTTTGCTTTGCAAAACCAAACTTAAAAGAATACTTTCTGCCAGTCTTCATACAGGGCCTGTTTTCTAAATAACAGATGTTTTTGTTGCTTTTGTGATTTTTTTCTCTTTCATGTTTTTCTTCTGCTCTAAAATTGTTTCATCTAAATTTTGATGTCATGTATTTTCTGTTTTGACAGTGCCCATTGTTAGTGTTAAATACTTATCAATAAGGCATTAATAAGGGCCTTTTTTAAAAGCAACAAAAATGGAAACATCATTCTAATATAGGTCACATTCTGTCTGCTGTAAACACCAGATCTGTGCTGTCATCACAAACCAGGGGCATTTAACACACACTGCGCACACATACACACACACACACACACACCCTGGAAACGAAAACTCCATTCATTTCAAATTATTTTCTTAAGGACTGTTTCCAGCGGTAGCATTACCCAAGCGAATTTGTCAACTAACAACACAGTGTTTTCTGTGCCAGCGTTCTCTGGATTGAGGGAGCTGACGTCACCACACTCGGGGCTCAGACCTGCAGGGGGATATTTGTTGATGGCACCTGGGGAGAGAGTGGGCTGGTGAATCTAAATTTTACCCTTCCACCTTCTGACCATCACCCAAAGTCAGTTAACCTTTTCCTGTGGTTACAGGCGTTTTCAAGAGCAAATTACTTTCCTAGGGGACTCAGTAAAGTAGGCACCCTCTGAAATTGCAGTACCTTGTTGGCAAAGTCAATGACATATAGCAGTGATGGAGTAAAAATTTCTCATGCTCTGTATGTCACAGGCTTGTGATACAGTCTAAGGACAGCTCTCAGTTCTGTCTATCATCTGTTTCTCTCCCTCCAAAAGGAGGATCTTTTCAGAAGACACCATTGGCTATTGAAATTGTCTGCCCTATTTATCTTGGGGTTGGAAGAAGGAACCATTTTTTGCAACTGACAAGCCTGCTATAGCATATAAATCCAAGATTCCTGAGGGTCATCCAAGCCCTGTGGCTTTATGAGTCCCAGAGAGTCTGCATCTCTGTGATTCCCTAGTAAACTCGCAGGAGCTGGAGACAGCCGTTCAGTGTGGCCCCTGCCCCACTTCTCACCCCTAGCACAGGTCAGGCTTGTGTGATGCTGCAAGCTATTACATATGCTACTGAACCCATGTCCACAATTAAAGCACATGGACACTGTCGAGGCCCCACTAGGAAAAGGCACCCTTAATTCCCCTGCCTGGCGGGTCCTGAGCCGGTTCTGTGGGACAGAGGCTCTAGACAAGATTGGTGTCTGCGGCTCATAAGAATTAAAGTCAGAGCCCAAGGCAGTTTACATTGACAAGAGAAACTAGAAGGCCTTGGAGGAGGTGGACAGTGGTGGTAGTGGGACATTTACTACAGCAGAGCACCTTATTGAGGGTTTAGGAAATGAAGTATAGTTGAAAGGACAAGAGCATGGCTGTGGGGTCAAAATGCATGGGATTAACTCTAGAATTTGCCAACTATTGTGCAGTTTTGAGCAATTCATTTAACATCTCTGAACCTTAGTTTTTTCTCTTATAAAATGGGGATACTAATACTTTCCTTTGAGGGCTATACTGAGGATTTAATGATAGAATTCCCTTAAAGAACTACGCACATAGTAAACACTCACATATTTGGGCTAAAAGGCACTTCTTTTTTACCCATATGGGGTTTCTGGCAAAGTTCTTGACTGTGCAGAAAGTCACGATCGTAAGACCTGAGGCTTGTGTCTGTGGCTGTCTTGCTGTCTCCGACTCACACCTTAGACAGCAGCCCTCTCTGCTAAGGTGAGGATCCTGTTACTAAGACACCTGGGGGCTTGTACACAGGGATTAAATCTATTGCAAAAGCAATAGAAGGGAAAAGGTTTAATGACTTACGTCTGATTAAATGGACAAATGGCTTGACAGACTTGGTGATATAGCTCAGATCTGGCTTGTGGATCCGGCCAAGCTGGACTAAGTGCCCATCCAGTGGGTGGCTGGCTAATTCCTCTCGTTCCTTGTCATTGTGTGTAGGGCCAAAGGAAAACACAAATATGGCATAGCCCTGACACTTGGCTCTCAGAGATACATTTCCTAAGACTTCCTTGTCTAAGGGGTTGGTCTCGCCAGCAAATATGACGGAGATAACTTTGTTTTTCCTCAGGCTGGGGGTTCCCACAAGGACTTGTCAGCTGTCCACTGCAGGGCATGACCTATAAAAACATCTCCACTGAGCTGTTGAAGATTTTCTTGGACATGATGTTTCATTTGGCTCATACTGTTAGAAGTAACCAAATCAAATTCCAGGCAGACAGGACATTCCTCAGTGTTGGGCACATAGCCTGCAGGAGAGTAGCTCAGGACAGCCCTCGTCTCCTAAGCTGGAGGTCAGTGGATCTGGGGCAATGTGAAGGTAACCAAGCACTGAGCTTATAAAAGTTTTCACTTCCTTAAACTCATCATTTCCTACTCTTTGGGAAGCATCTATGAGGGAAGCCACATACATATGATATTCTTGAAGAGAGACATCTCCAGGCTCATAAGGAAATGCCGACTGAGGAAGACAGGAGGTAAGTGCTTAACGTTCTTTCTCTTCCACGGAAGAAGTATGTTTGTGAACCTTACCAAGCAAGAAGTGGCTTTCTAGATGACAAAAATTTATTGATCCTCATTTGCACTGGACCCATTATTAATATTTTACATCTATTACTTCATTTAATCCTCACAAAAACAATTCACACAATGACCGAATTAACATGTATTATTGCCATAAAAGCATACTATTGAAATAGAATGCCAAAAAACACATCGTGGAGGACATTATTAGGGCAAATGCTCTGCTAGATGCTCGAATGCTCAAACAGCTCTGCATTCCTGGGGCAAATGCTGCAGAATCTTTTGTATCTATTGTTGGATTTGTTTGAGGGTTTTTTTTTGACAAATAAAAACTGTATATTTTAAGGCATACACTGTGGTGTTTTACTATCAGTATATATTGTGTAATGATTACCACAATCAAGCTAATATTGTTGGATTTGATTTGCTAAATTTTTGTTTAGAATTTTTGTATGTATGTTCATGAGGAATGTTGATGGGTAGTTTCATTTTCATGGAATGTCTACCTCGTTTGGGTATAATGGTAATCTGGCCTCAAAGAATGAGCTGGCTTTGAAATATGCTTTCCTCTTTAATTTTCTGTAAGAGTTTGTGTAGAATTGGTATCATTTCTTCCTTACATGTTTTCCTGAATTCACCGGTGAAGTTGTTTTAGCCTGTAGTTTTCTTTACGGGAAGGTGTAAACTAAAAATTCAGTTTCTTTAGCAAGTTTAGAGCTGTTTAGATTGCTTATTTTTAAGTGAGCCTTACTAATTTGTGCATTGTAAGAAATTTGTCCATTTCACCTAAGCTGTCTTATAGCAAAAAAAATTATTTATAATGTTCCCCTGATTATCCTTTTCATCCCTGTAGAATATACCTCCTCTCTCATTTCTGATATTCCTGGATATTCTTTTTTCTGGTGAGTCTGATTATAGGTTTATTGATTTTATGGATGTTCTCAAAGAAACAGCTTTTAGTTACAGTGATTTTCTCTTTTTTATTTCATTGGACTCCACTCTAATTTTATTACTTCTTTTCTTCTGCTTACCTTGGGTTTATCCTGCTCTTTTTCTGATTTCTTAAGTTGAGATCATTGATTTGAAACCCTTCTTATTTACCAATTTAGGTCTTTGATGCTATAAATAATCTCCTAAGGACTGCTTTGGTAGAATTTCACAAATTCAGGTTTATTGTGGTCTTTATTTCCACTCATTTCAAAATACTTTCTAACTGCACTTCTGATTTTTTCTTTGACCATGGAATCTTTAGAAGTGCTTTAGTGTCCAAATACTTGGGGATTTTTCAAAGATTACCACCAAAACATTTATAGAGTTCTTGGCTATCATGTATTAGGAACATGTGAAAATTAGATGGTCATTTCTGTCATTTTGCAGCCCGCCTCCCGGAGCCCACTAATCATTACGTGCTCTGCCGCCAGGATCTCTGCTTTCCAACTACAGCATTTGGCTTCTTTAAAAAGGTCAATCAACACACTTTGTTAAAGCATAAGGAAAAGTTGAAGCAAAACTGAAGGAACAAATAGCATCAGTCTCAGAGACTCCAAGAAGGAACTAGTGGTTACCAAAGGGGAGGGGTGTGGGAGGGCAGGTGGAGAGGGAGGGAGAAAGGGATTGAGGGGTATTATGTTTAGTAATGGTGGGGGGGATCACGGGGAGAACAGTGTAGCACAGAGAAGGCAAATAGTGGATCTGTGGCAACTTGCTGCACTGATGGACAGTGACTGCAGTGGGGTGTGGGTGGGGACTTGATAATATGGGTAAATGTAGTAAGCACATTGTTTTTTCATGTGAAACCTTCATAAGAGTGTATATCAATAATACCTTAATAAAAATTAAAAAAAAAGAAAGGGCAAGAGGTAGGGATAGTAAAGGGGCAGGAGGAATCTCTTGGGTTGTGGATATATGTTGACTATCTTGTGCAACATACACCACACGTCAAATCATAGCACTGTTGACTCTGAATACATGTAAGTCAACTGCATGTATGTCTATTATATTCAATAAAGTGTTTTAAAAATTCCAAAAAAATAAAAAATAAATAAGGAAAAGAATTTTATGAATGTTCTGGCAGAAAAGGAAGAGCTGACTTATCATGTCAGTGAAATATTTGTTTCACTTATGCGTGTATCAGAAATATTACTACTTTTTCCAATTTTTTTATAAATGAGTAAAATCTCAGTATTTTCCAAAGTACCTAACAGAACTATTCTATAAAGATGTATATTTCACGTATAAAATCTCAAAAACAGGTTCTCTACCTACTTAAGGGATTAGCATGAGAATCAAAGAAGCTAAAGGTAGATGATTAAGACTTGAAAACTCTAAAATTTAGTCACACATAAGGTGTAATTTTTCTTCTTTGAGTCTAAATTCATCTTACTTATGAGTGGGCCTTCAAAAATATTTTCCTTCAAGAAAAGGTGGCAGTGGTGTGGGTAAAATATACCAGTAGTTCATAACCCCGTTGTGTATTTTCTGGAAATGTAATGGAGCCAAATTCCTACCTTCAAGTCTATGGGAGAATTTCCTCAGAGGAGGGAAGGCTGGCTCACTTTATTATGGACAAGGCTCGGAAGGAATTGGGGGTCCAGCTAGATTTCCAGGGAAGCACCCCCAGAGATTAGCATAACTTTGGCCAACATTTATGCCACAATGCCATGTGTGCTCCAGTAACTTTGGGGAGATGGGGGCAGAAAGGGAATTCAGAGAGAAGGGAGAATCTCCGGGCCCTGAGCCACTTGGGCTGGGGTTAAGTGTTCCGTGAAGTAGCTCTACAGCCTCTCACAGCCTTTGTGGGAAATCTCAGGATATACGTCAGTTATCCGGGGGTCTGACTTGAGATTTGTCCAGGGGCCCAAATCAGCCAAGTGTCTCTCCACAGACAAGCCATATTTACGGAGGCTACTTCATGCATTTCTTTCTACAAGAACTGTAGCAGGCATTTTTCAAGTTAATATTTTGTATGAGACTTCTCATGAGGTTGGCAACGTTTTCCTTTTTGCTTCTCTGAGTATTAAACTGAACATTCCGTTTGCTTTGGGTCCTGCGCTCGGCTCTGTGCCTGCCTTCGCTCACTTCATCTGCCAGCAGCACCGTGAGCGGGACTGTTGCCACTCCCGTTTCACAGACGGGCAGCTGAGGCCTGGGGTGGGTGAGGGCCACGGCCAGGACAGGACAGCCTGTAGGTGGCAGAGGCAGAATCTGAGCCTCCGGGGTGCATCTCTTTCAGAAGAACTGATCCTGAGCTCTCGGGGGAGAGCAGACACTTAACTGCCTCACCAAAGGCGGTTCTAAAGATCGGGCTTTCAAGAATGAGGTTCTCAAGTCAGTTGCTGTTCCTTCTGATTAAAGCCACTAGAGAAAGTTTTCTTCCAAAAGTAAGCACTTATATGCATTAAATAAATTTGTAGTTTTTTCTTTTCTAGGCGTTGGTAGCAGTGGTTATGGGCAGAACCTTTGGAATGTCTCTGAGCCCCGTCTCTGCCGTCCGTGAGCTTCGTGAACCCAAGTCTCCTCCAAGCCTCAGTTTCATTATCTAAAAATCAGTAATAATAAACTATAACCTTATAAGGTTTTTGAAAGAATAAACTTTCCACAGCACCTCAGATGTCCTGAGTACTCCATAAATCTAATTTTAGAGGGAAACAAACAAAAAAGTCTCAAACACCTAAAAATTCTACCCATGATACTATATTCTGCAAATCAGAATTTCCATAAGAAAAAGTGCAGTCAGTTGGTAGTGGAACAAAATTTACACACACAACTACAAATGCACACATACTTTAGGGAGAAGAACGTTCATCTGGTTAACTGCACAGGAGTCGGCAAGAATTTACATACCTCTCCACTCACCACCACCACCTCAGGCCTGCCTGGTGAGGCCACTGCAAGCTGGGGCAGCAAGGCAGGCAGGCAGAGAGTGTGTGCAGCTATATATCATTCGTTTCATGCCATAGGGAAATACAAACACATTTAAAATTCTCTCGTTTTGTTGCAAGAGGTCCTTTTCCCTCCATTTACCTGAGCAAGTCAGACTGTCTTAAACTAGACTCCATCCTTTTCCCCAAAGACTTAGAATAAATGTCTATCTTGGCCTGAACTTTTCCAGGTGGCACTTAGTTTCAAGATTGACTCTTGCCATCGACTTCACACCCTGAAACAGTAGTCTAAGTAGGTACCAGCACACGGAGAAAAAGTGAGGCATGCCTTAGGGGCTGTTGATACCCAAACCACTGCACCTGGAACTTTGTTTTTAATTAAGGTGCTCTGTTATTCTGTGCTCTGGATTCTGGTAATTTATAAGAAGGACCTGGTAAAAAATGAAAGTAAATTTCAAAAACAGAATTGAGCCACCAAAATTATTTAAAAATAAGGCTCCCAAATGACGACATGATCAAACTTTTCCTTCAATTTTGCACCTGGATGTATTTCCTCATTTGTAAATGAGACAAGGCCGTCCGCAGGCGATGCGGCACACATAGTCACGGTCGGAGTGGTGGGGACAGCAGGGGTGCGCGTCCCAGCTCTGCCGCTTCCAAGCGGGATGGCTTAGCTTGCAGTTCTTACCCATCGCATCCTGAGCTCCTCTGTAATATACAGAAAGTAATAATAATGATGATGATGATCAGAGGTGTTTTTTTTGGTAAAGATTAAATGCATTGTGTGTATAGAGTGCCCACCTCTGTGCCTGGTGCATCACTGCCCTGAATGTGACCGCCACTGTTCCTCACGCGCTGCCCGGTCACCAAGCGAAGCCGGGTGGACAGTGCTTCGGGAACTGTGCTGCATGGAGTAAATACTGGCCCAGAGAGCATTCCATCTGTACTTTTTATTGAACTGAATACTTTCCGATTGTATTACAAATTTTTGGTACACACATAATACTCTGCCAGACTACAAGCTCCTTGAACACGGACTTTGTCTAAGTCTTTTTTTTTTAGAAAAAAAATCCCTCTCTATCCCTCTCCCCACAGAGACTAGCCAGGGCTTAACTCAAATGTGGAGCTAAGTACCTATTTGCTACATGAAAGGATGTTTGAATAATTATGGGAAAATCAATGTAAATGCTTAGCAGAGTCTTCATATAGTAAGCTCTTAATGGGGGCTGCGGCTGCTCCTCCACCACCCCCGCAAGCCCATCCCACTTCACACTCTTACCCCCCCACCATGCCCACCTCGTCACCTCCCCACCAAGGCTGTTACCACTACCGCCATGTCACCATGCCCTCTACTCTATCCACCAACAAGATCACTGTGGCCAACACCTCTGCCATCACTACCAGCAGCGCTAGATGCCTTGGCCGCCACTGTCTCACGGCCCCCAAGGCCGGCTCTGCCATTATCACCCCACAGCCCTCACCCAGTGACTACTCAAGTATCCAAGCTTTATTCCATTGTAAAGCAATCCACATGAAAAAAAAGTCACTAATACTGGTACATTCTTTATTAATGCAACAAATGATTGCATGAGACATACAGAAGCAACCTCACTGAACATTTGAATTCAAATAGCCCACATACCCTGAACTCTCAGTTCACATTAGTTGGGTCCACATGCAAAACCTTCAAGGGACACAGCCCAAACTGTAATAACAATACAATAAATTCCCAAAGCAAAAGTAAATGCAACAGCCTCAGTCTACATTTAAAATGAATGAGAGACTCAGTTTATTCCCCAGAGAATATCAAGATGGTTGAACTTTCCCAAAAAGCTCATGAGATGTGTACTTAAAATCCACACATGAGCACAATTCTGCTACTGACCTTTTTAGAATGTGTTTTGATGGGAAAGTAGGATGCTCAGCTGCTGCTCCGTGAGTGCCTCCGAAGCCACTCTGCTGCATTTAATTCCAGCACAGACTTAAATTTAGCAGAAGTGAAGAAGTGCATTCAATGTTCAATACATGACAGCAAAAATTAGAAGCAAGCTAAATATTCAACAAGAGGTAAACAGTTAAATAGATACATTGTTGAAAGTAACATTATTAGGACACAGAAAAATCAGTACGAAGCTTGCCGCAATATGTAAAATGTATGACCTAATAGTCTATGAAAAGGATGGGCAATTGAATAAAACTATGTAAAACTGTATGCCTGTGGAAAAATGAAAGAATGTATTTCACTCTACAAATAGCTCAGTTTGCTAAATTGTTTGAGACTCTTTGTATTCAAATTTTATATGGTAATGATAATACTTCAATAATTTTAAAAAAATTAGCAGAATCCTGAGGGTGTAATGGGGAAACAGTGAACAGGGTGTAGGAATTGTGAGTCCCTATAACTGAATCTTCTTGAATGATTTTCGGGGCATGAAGTTTCTTTGAAAGCAAGGCTTCTCCCATAGCTGACAGTTTGGGTAATTCTTTATTATGAGGGTGAGATCTTGTGCATGGCAGGGCGCTTAGCGGACTGGGTGCCAGCAGCACCTCCGGTTGTAACAGCCAAAAAAGTGTCTCCGGAGTCGGGTGGAGAGGATGTGCCCCTTCCCTGGTTAATTTGCAAGAAGCGATCACTAGACAGCTTCCAGCTCTAATACCCTGTGACTGATTCAAAGTCAAAAGACATATTGACTTAAAAAAAGCTGATTTATAGATCAGAATCAGATTAAAGTTAGAAAAATAGAATATGTAAAACAAACCCCATTCAAATTCCCTTTGAGCACAATTCACGCCTAGTTTGAAGAGGGAAGTGTTACTTCTCATTTCTCAATGAAATTCGTTGTGCAAAACATCAACTGAAGATATTTTAAGGCCTGCAATGGCCTAAAGCTTTGAGGCACCCCCAGGCTGAGTTTGGATTGATGCTTAACATTCATTATAAATTATCCTGTCTTTCTTTAATGTTAATACTAACTATATCTTAAATATTAGTTAACAAAGCATCTTGATGAAAGTGCTAGACTCGCCACTAGGTTTGACAGTTGCAATTTAATTAGAATTAAACCACCCATTTTTTTGTTGTTTAATTCCAAAGAGCTATGTATCTTCCACTGGTGAGTAATTAGGAGGGACTGAATTTTCCAAGGAATTTTTATATTGCCGATGTTGCGGTCAAAATGCATGACAGAATCTCTAAATAAATCTCTATATGTTTGGATCTTAGAAAGTGTTTCATTAGGTAGATGTTGGATGGATGGATGAGTGGATGTTCAGTGGTCTTCCATGAATAAAATAAGATTTTAACCCAGTTCCCCTGGAACTCTTTGGAACAGGAATTCTCACTTCTGTTCGGTGACACAGCTACCTAACTGCTTTCAGCTCCACCCAGCAAATGCGGCAGGAGGGCAGTGCCCCAGATCACCTGTGCTGCTCGCCTAGACTCAACCTGCTGAGCCCCCGCCCCGGGGGTCTGGCTCAGTAGGTCTGGGATGAGCACTGAGAGCCCGCGCTCCTAACGCGTTCCCAGGTAATGCTGGTGCCCCTGGTTAGGAACCACACTTTAGAATCACCTGGACAGCAGATCTCAAACTTGAGGACACACAGAACTCACCGAGGGTGGTTTTTCCTCAACACTCACACCCCTAGATATGAATCAGTAATTCTGAGGAAGGTTTAGGATCTGTGCTTATGGACTTCCAGGTGATCCTGACATAGACTGCCCTTGAACTGCTTGAAGGAGTGAAGAGGGCCAGGAAAGGTGATGGAAATGGAGATGAACTTGGAAATCAGAGTGAGAGGAAGGAGCTGAGAGAGGCATAGGTAGAGAGTGACTGCACCTCCCATGAAATGGGGTGGTCGCAGCTCCTCGCCACACACAGGACTCCGGGAATGCTGTACATTTCTTGTTAAGAATGGTTATACGTAATGCTATACATTTCCTGTTATATCTAATGGTTAAGATTTCTAACTTTCCCCCAAGACTCAGTTCAAGGGCAGAAAGATCAGCCATAAGCATCACTTTATAAATGAGGAACAAGCATAGCACATGAAGATACTTATGAAAGTTATCAACCTTTTATTTGTGCAATACATCTGGAACTAATCAAAGCTCATCTCTTAGCAACTGAGTAAAATATCTGAACCACAATTTACTTTCCTAAAGGACAGCACAGTTCTCAGCAGGTTTTGGCAACTGGCTAAAGATGATACTAAATAAAAAAAAATGTGGAACAGAAATAATACCGTCAAAAAGTCACATACTCAGCCTCCTCTCATTTTGGTTCCTTAACAGAGGTACAACTGGGTTCTTTTGACAAATGACCTGAATCATTTTCCTCCATTGTTCCTTTTCTCTGCTCTTTGCTTAGATGTGGTTCATATACGGATACCAATGAAACGCGATACTCCTATTTACTGATGTCTGCCACTTGATGCACTACTTAAAGCCATAAAAGCTGCACCATTGGCCATAAGGGCATCTAAAAGGCACAGTATGAAAATAAGATAAGCACTACCAGTAGCTTAGTTTGATCATCTCATTTCATTTCAAAATTCAAAAATCAAAGTTGTAACGTCTAATCAATTCTTTTTAGTACCCCCAAAGGGATATTTCTAATATCACTTCTAAAATTTAGCTATAAAACACGAATCTATTTCATATTCTCTCATCAGCCTAACTGAAGATTCCCATTGTATTCAGTGGCAGTTGTGCAGCTGGAAAGATGGGAGAATATGGGTCATAATTGTAGCTGATTGTACAGTTATCCAACTTTCATTCTGACATCAGTAACACAAATTTTCAGACAGCGGCCTTCAATAAGGCTTACACAACTCAATTAAAAATCTTGGAGACCCAGATGTATTTTAAAGGATAAAAAAAAAACATATTTTCCTTAGCTTGATACTCTCACAATTTTCAGGCTATCACAACCTGACATAATCCTCCCCAGAGTTCCCAGGACATTTCAGCCCAGTGCAGGATAAATTGGGTGGGTCGGGTAATGGACAATTTACATTTTTTCCTCTTGCAACTATTCACAATTATTTCTTCAGCTAAATTGGACCTTACACTGGCTACAAGTATCTTGATTCCCACACATCTGAAAAAGCAAATGAAAGTCTTTCTATTATTACTGAACAAAAATCATTAAAAAGCACTGCAAAGATGGGTTTCTTTTTTTTCTTTCTTAAATATCCGGTCATATCTGTCTTTCCTGAAAAAGTTTACATTTCTGAATTATTAGACTTTAGAAAGCTTATCTCTAACAAAACTATCACAAGTAACAGTTTTGTATTGTCAAATACAAAATACTGCCAAAACTTCTCTTTTTCTTTTTCTTCTTTTTAAACCAAATCATAATAAATTATTGTGCCTTGAGGATTGCTATAATTCCCATATCATTAAAATGAATGTCCAAAATAAACTATATCCAATAAAAAAACTAATATTTATTTCCTTCTTTAACTTATGTCATGACAACAAAATTGTTTTAATTGAAAAATAATATGATGGTACTACATATATCCATTTTTACTGAATTAACTCTTTTCTAAGCCTTATTTTTCAAGTAATCATTGACTGTTTTATTCTTAGCTTTGAAAAGGTAAGTTCAGCTATTTTAAAGATGAAGTTCTATATTTAAATTTCAGCAACAGGAGGACAATGTGGAGCCATGAGTGTTGAGCCCAAGGAAAAGAAAATTTATTTATCCAAGGAAGCTACTAAGAATGAATTTTATTCTTTCTTATGAAGGATTGACAAAAGATTAGCTCCCTTTTTTTTTTAAACTTGCATATTCTAACAATACACATGATACGGCATGTTTTAAAAACTAGCATTCTGGTCAGATGAGCATCTTGGAAGGTTCTAGATGCATGGATGTAAAGGCTGAATAGTCTGTTTATAATGTCACCCTTTTCAATGAAAATACACACAAAAATCCTATATATCTGGTTTATTTGAAACTATTAAATCTTGACAAAAGGTATTACTGTATTGCTATTCAAATGTATAGTGGAGGAAGTGGGAGAGTTTATGCTTTATCATTTCCGTCTCATGCGATCACAAATTCTGGGGCACTGGCCAAGCCAACTCCTCGTCGCTTTAATTCCCCCTTTGCTGTGATGTTCTCTATCTTGCCCCTTCTCTGTCACACTAACCTTCTAGGTGTGGCGTCCACAGGAATATGGTTTGGTGGGAGTACCGGGGACACTACACGCTTCTGTTAGTGATCTCCTCAGGGTACCTGTCACCATTTAAACCTTCACTTTCTATGAAAAGCAGTAGCTGCCGCTACCATTTTGAACTTAAGAAAAGCTGCTACAGAGACCAGCCTTAATGTATTTGATTCTGTACTAGTGTTAAAAGATGAGGACCCAGTTATCTTTAAATGTCTATTGTAACTTTTCATTTCCTTACCAGAAGTAAGACTTGCAATTTCTTCAGAATCCTTATCCTTTTCATATTTACTCGTTAACTCCTGTAGCATCAGCTTTTAGCTCGGAATGTAGACCAAATGGTCACCTCCACTATCCTCCAGCACAAGAGATGAGTCTCTCCTGGTACTTAATTCCTGGTCAATGAAGCTGTTCTCTCCGGACGAAATCTCATGCAGCTCAGAAGCAAAACTAGAAAATAAACAAAGAAACTTTAAGTGAACCTGGATAACTTTAGGGAATGCAGATAAAATATCCCAAGGATTTCAAATAGTTGTTTAATTATCTCTTGGTAGCAAAAACCTGAATTCATTACAATCATAAAATTCATTAAGATTTGTTATACTTACTAAAAAGTTATAAACTGATAAATAAAAATAATCCCATTTATCTTTCTTTTTTCCCTATCTGCTTATAGCCTATGAAATACTACTGGGGAATAAACCAAGCCTGATTTGCCACAGAGTTTTAGGTAAATGACAAAAAATACAGGTTTTTGGAACAGCCAAATGACCTGTCTCAGATTGAAATCAATCACCATAGAAATATAGACAACAGTCTTTAATTTGTCAAGTACTGTTCTGAGAAGAATAAGATTATATGAAGCATATCTTGACACGATGCCTCTTAAAATGGTGTCTACATTTATATTCTTAGGAGTTTGAGTTCTCTATGATAATTTGAGAAAAAAATAACTAAGAAGACATTTTGTTTATTTAAATGATGATAGAAAATATATTCAGTGTAAGTTTATTCTTCTCTTATTTCATGCAACTCCATGCAAATGTTTAATTTATATCCGTGTTTGCCTTGGAATCTGCTGCAGAGCGGCAGCCAGTGCCACTTCACCTGCTGAGTTACTGAGGAAAGGAAAGGAAGTGAGATGTGACATAGGAATGATGCATTCACGTCGGATGGAAGCCAATGCAGAGTGACCGCTTTGCAGTGGTGCCAGGAGAGAGAAGTGCGAGGGGGACCAAGCCGGCCTGCAGCAGAGAAGGCGAGCCGAGAGCAGGCACATCCTGAGCTCACATCATACAGTACATATTTACCACGACGTGCCATACTTTTGTAGTTTCAGGAATTCTTTTTTAGCAAAGCAGAATCACCCATTACATTAAATCAGTGTTTTAAGCTTGTGTCTTATTGAGTTTGCTTGGATCTGATGCACACATTTTGGTCTGGTAGTTATGTAAGGATTATACACAGGGTATTTGCAGCTAGATTTATGTTTGTACATGTTTAAATCACATTACACTACTTTGTCTGCCGCTCTGTAAGAATTGCTTTTCTTTTAAATGAACTTGTAACTTAGTCAGTATTAGGTGACACTACTTCCCTTGGTATCAGTGCCACACTGTCCTCCACAAGGAGTGGGCTGCTGGACCTTCCTTGCTGAACTACCAAGTAAAGGACATGTACATTAGGGGAATATGTGCACTTGCATACATACCGAGGAACCCTTCATCTTGCCGGTTTGCTTCTGGATATACATAAGACACCTCACCTGTTCTGAGAAGCTCTTTGCTTAACTGCAAGCTGAAGAGGACAGCTTAATTATGGGCCTAAATCCGGGCTTTCCCAGGCTGCAGTCAGGGATCTGAGCTCAGGAAGTACAGAGGGAAGCTGAGTGCAACCGATAGGCCACTCTCCTTCTGTCTGAGGCTCGAGATGCATTCCGATTGATTAATTTATGTAAGTAAACTGTGGGGTCTTTTACGTTACATTTTGTGGATGAAACAACGAATCACATGCAGCCACAGACATGAGACCAGACATGGGGATGAACTGGAACGAGCGCCTCAGCAGAGGCAGAAGGTGCTGAGAAACAGGAGCTGTGGGCTTTGGCTGAGAGTGAAGGTGGGCTCCAGGGAGGACACCGCTTCAAGCAGGGCCTCGGGCGGTGGGTAGGTTCAGGGTCCCTGGCAGTGCGACCAGAGGCCAGGGCAAAACAACAGTTCTCAGGAGGCAGAAAGAGTCCAGGACAGGGGAGAGGTGGGAAGTGAGGCTGAGGCGATGTAAGGCTAAACTATGGGCTCTATTCTGAGGTCAATTTCAGTGGGAGAGTTTCTGAAGAAACCATGTATTTAAAAGCAAATTGTAATAAGGTTCATGAGGCTGTTATAAAAGCATCAATCCAGAAAGCGTGCTTGACATGTGACTTGGCTACATAAAATGGAATACATGAGAAGTCTTTACTTCAGAGACCGGATTAATTTCCTCAGTCTAGTGACGTGCCATCAGCAGGTTAGATGCCCATCATTCAGTTAACAGATACCTGTAAACATCAGAGCCGTCTAACTCGCAGGAGATTATGTGCTTCTTCCGCCCTAATGAGACCACAGGCTTTCTCAAGCATTGGCGGTGGATACTGATTGAATTCTCCTATTGAGAGAGCAAAGATACAGTTAGATTTTTTAAAATTCATTTTATTATCATTAATCTACAATTACATGAAGAACATTATGGTTACTACACTCCCCCCTTCACCAAGTCCCCCCCCCCACAAACCCCATTACAGTCATACAGTTATATTTTTAAAGTAGAAACTGTTTACTAGGGAAAGAGCATCCCAATTGAATCTACCTGAAGTAATAAATGTCACTGAAATATCAGCAAAATTTGGCTGGGGTGAAAACAGAAAATAGTAGCAACTAGCAATAGCATTCAAAACTGATTTTAGAGTGTTTTGCACCAAAGAATTCCAGGCTCATGGAAATGGAAGTCCTCAAATTGTTCATTTAAGGGTTGATCATGATGTAGACATACATGATTTCCATTTGCTCAGAAGGATATAATCGAAGATCTATTCTGATAGTACAAAGCTTTTCCACTCAGACTTACACTAATGAATCAAACATAGAAAAGGCAATATTTCATGACATAATGCTACCTCTATGCTTCTGCACCAAGTAACACTAATTTCTAGGAGGAGAACCACAGAAAAGATTTTAGCTTACTGACCTAAATATGTCCCTTTGCTCTCTTCCCATCGTTATTCGATAAGATATGGGATATTGAGAAGTATGTTATTTTTTCCCTTCACTGAGGAGAATAAATAGTTTCTAGCTGAAGGAGGCCTTTGGCCATTGAATGATTAAAGACTCTGAAAATATCTCAGAGAACGTCTGTGGTTTCATGACAATCCTATCAGACAGGTGCTGTTGCCATGCACTCACCAAATCTGTGCACATTGGGAGCAAACAGCCAGCTCCAAACCTTACACAACTGGGCTTGGCAGCTTAGGAAACATTCCCGAGACTATTAGGAGAGGAGTCTCTTGTCTTTTTAGTCTCTATTACATTTATTTTATACAAACCAAGTGGTTATGGGCAGGCAGAGAATTGGATGTGTTTAGTAACATTGCTTAGGTGGAAATGAAAAGTAACCTAGTTCTAATAACTAACTGCAAAGCCAAACTTAACAGCCCGGCAAGACCGGCTCTGAGTTATTTTATAGAGTCTTTTAAAAAGTGTTGCATCGTCATCAATCTTGATGGTGTAAAGAACAATATTGCATGGAAAAAGATGGATATCAATGACTGAATCAAGAAATAGCTCACAAGAGCCAAATTTTGAGTAGGAAGTTTTAGGAATGTCTTAACCAGTTTGATTTACATACATTCCCTTTTTATACATGCAGAAAGTGATATAGAGTAATCTGCCTAAAATAACTCTTTCAATTACTGTAAAATGAAAAGTACTCTGATAGGAAAACTGGTATTGACATTTAATTGGAAACATATTTTCTTTCTTTTCACATGATATAAGAGAACCACAGAAAAGATTTTAGCTTACTGACCTAAATATGTCCCTTTGCTCTCTTCCCATCATTATTCTATAAGATGTGGGCATGTCCAGTTAGAGAAGTAACATGGCACCAGAGGGTGATGACAGGGTTCTGCAATCGGACATGAGCTGCAGGAGAAAGGGGGCACTCTCTGCAGTGCAGAGTGAGCTCTGGGGGTATTTCCCCTGTGCTGGTGTTGGGCATTTGAATACCAGGGCTGCTCTGGAGTTCTAGGATGGTCTGATTGGTTCCAGTAGAACCTGACTCTAGTCCTGTCAGATTCCCAGAAAGAATGAGTTCAGCTCCAATTCTCCAGGATCCTCTGGGCCAGGTTTTTCAATCTCAATGCTGTTGACATTTTGGGTGGGCTCATTCTTTGCTGTGGGGACATCTCTGAACTGTAGATTCTTTAGCAGCATCCCTGGCCTCTACCCACTAGATACGTGTGTGTCCTCTCTGTCAGTTGTGCCCATCAAAAATATATTCAGACATTTCCATATATCCTCTGGGAGATAAAATCATCCCCAGCTGAAAATCACTAGAGTGTTTCTCAAACCACTTGTGGCAGAGGATAAAGGTGTTTTTATTTCTAGTTCTTTACAGATTAATACTTCTGGTTTGTACCTTGTTCAATGAGACCAAGCCCACTGTTCATGCACTCAGGTGCCGTGGCAATGTCAAATCGCTTTAAAAGTTTCTAGGTGCTTATTCCCAGTTCCTGAGTTTCTCCTCTCACAGGTCAGTGTGCGGATAGCACCCGTGCAGTGGGTGGTGCTTTGCAGGCACGGGTCCAGAGCCTTGCTTCACAAAGTGTTATTCTGGGCCAGAAGCATGGACATCACTGGGGACCACGTTAGAAATGCAGAATCTCAGGCTCTGCCCTAGACATACTGAATCAGAACCTGCGTTTCAACAAGATTACTGCGTGACTTGGGCGCTCAGACTCTTAGGAGCAGCGCAGGGTGATGCTGCCATCTTTATACCCTCACATAGGCCTCTGGGGTGTGCTAAGGTTGGAAACAAACCAGACATAGCAGGAAAAACTTTTGTTTAAATGTGCATCTTAGAGACCACCTAAGAGCTGCTAAAGGTAAGCTGAGCGAGTGTAGCTCAGGAAGCCTTCAGTCACTCTGTGCTTTCTAGCTCAGAGTTGGGCTAAGAGACAGTCTATCATGAGAAAGGTCTCAACTCATTATGACCAATGTATAAAAAGGGCATAACCAGGAGATGTCCTATCCCTGTCCCCATCTCACCATCTAATTCATATTTGGGTTAGCTGTAGATACAAATATATGTTGAGTTATCAATTCTATTAACAAACACTACTTCATTAAAACAAAGAGGGAAAACAAAATAATGACTTACGTCTGAGTACACAAATGGCTTTAAGAATTTTACAATATAATCCATATCTGGTTTATGAATTCTCCCAAGCTGTATCAGGTGGTGATCAAGTGGGTGGCTGGCTAACGCGTCCATGTCATCCTTATGTGTAGAACCCAGAGAAATCACAAATATGACATAGCCTTGTCACTTGGTCTTCAGAGCCGTCTTCTTTAAGAATTCCTTTCTCTCAGACAAATACCAAATGATTTCACTCATCTGTGGAGTATAAGAACGAAGGCAAAACTGAAGGAACCAAACAGCAGCAGAATCACAGAACCCCAGAATAGACTAACAGTTATCAAAGGGAAAGAGACTGGGGAGAATGGGAGGGTAAGGAGGGAGCAGGGCGGGGAAGAAGAAAGGGGGTATTATGATTAGCATGCATAATGGGGGGGAGGAATGGGGAGGCCTGTGCAACACAGAGAAGACAAGTGGTGATTCTACAACATCTTACTATGTGGATGGACAGTGACTGTAATGGGGTTTGTGGGGGGACTTGGGGTAGGGGAGAGCCTAGTAAACATAATGTTCTGCATGTAATTGTAGATTAATGATAACAAAATAATAAAAAAAATTAAAATTATCAGAAGGAAGCCAATAAACACATGAAAAGTTCTTAAATCTCAAAAAAAAAAAAAGAATTCCTTTCCCTCATGATTTTCTCCAGCTGAGACCACGAAGATGACTTTGTGTTTCCTCAGGTTGGGTGTTTGGGGTCCACAGCAGGGCACGGCCAGCTGCTGGAGGGAAGTCTGGATGCGGCTCTTCATTAGGACTTGGCTGTCGTAAGTTGTACACTCAAACTCTGCTTTTGCTGCACCCTTCTTTCTATCCCGAGGAGAATAGTTCTGTAAGACAAGCTTATCACCATGGGCTGAGATTAATGGCTCTGAAGCAATGTGGAAGTTGTCAAGCATTGAGCTAACCAAGGTTTTCATAGCCTTAAACGCATCACTTCCTATATTCTGAGAATTTTCTAAGAGGAAGGCTACATCCATGTATGAATTTTCAGGTAAAAAGATCTCTTTGATGCGAGCATTTGGGAAACATTTATCTGAAAACACACAGAGAGACACATCATTGGCTCAGTGTCTGCACAGCAACACACTGTTGTTTGAGATCTTTAAGTGATTCAGTGACTGATTACCAAGAATTAATAATCTGATCAACACCTCTTCAATCTCACATTATTTAAAATTAATAAAGGATTTGCAATGTTGTAATATTTCTATGGCCATTAGCAAATAAGTTGGGAGGGTCTTTACTGAAAGCAGACTGTATGTATATTGCAGCATTTATATCTGAAGTCTGCATGTCCTGTCCAAACTCATTCGGAAAATACTTTCAATATTTTAATACAAGCTACCAAATTGTCCCCAATAAAAGCCACAGCAACTAGGATAATCTACTAAACCACATCTCATACTCTATGAAAACTCCAAATGTTACAGAGATTGAAACCCTGGTATACAGTATTGGAAGACCATATATTTAAGTTGGGAAACTTAAAATAGAATCTACAATCAAAAAATAGAAATATCTGATAAGGCCAGATTTAATAACTCATCCAGAAGGCATTTAAGTGTTTCAGCCTAATAAACTTTTCTCTTTGTTCTTACCATAGCAAAGTGTACAGAGCTGAAGTCTTTCTAATGGTTCATATTCACCATTTGGAGAAACTGGGATCACCCGAAGTGTTCCACTGTTGTCAAACTATATTGAAAAAAAAGTATATACTTATTTGCCTATTTTCTTTAGTCATTATCAGGAAGCCATAGTGCACACACCCACTCTAAGGGTTGGTTTCCAACACACCTAACCAGTCCCCATCACCTTGCATTATAGCCCTTTGCTCTATTCAGTACATCTTCTCACACACACATGCACCCACACACACACACAGACACATACACATTCACACACATATACACACTCACACACAAACACACACTCCCCCTTCTGCAGTAAACATAACCAAAAGAAGTATATGGAACAGGTATATTTTATAATGAGAAAACTATTTTATGTTAGATGACAAAAATATTTTTAAAAACTATTTTATAATGAGAAAACTGCCACAAGATAACCACCAGAGTCATCCACTGGGGCAAGTATTGAAATCTCACTATTTCCAGGCCTGCAGTTCTACACTGAATTTTTACATGCTTCTGATTATGTAGCAGCTAATTATAGACCATACATCAGGTTCTGTAGTTGGGTCCTGCAGAAATTTTACATTCACAAGTTTTCTGTGGCCTCTTTAAGTAGTGAACCCAGCTATTTCCACCCCAATCACACTTCCTACGAGGAGCATATTTCAGATGTCAAGCAGACTTCCCCAATCACAAATCCTAATTAAAAGTCTATTTCAAAAGGCAGAAGACACTAAGACTGCAAAATTTCTGGTAATACACTGCTTGATTTTGTATGTTTATTGAATCCTTTTTTGCTTTAATATTCACTGAAATGAACGATATATAGCATTCATTCATTTACGCAGTGAGTCACTACCTACTTATTGGGCATTTAGTCTCTGAGGCACCAGTGCAAGGCAGATACTTTTTTTCAGTGCAAGGCGGCCATCGTTCCCAGGTGGCAAGGAAGATACCTGTGCACCACAAACATGCTCGTGCTTTCTCTCCTTCTCCCATGAGAAATTAGAGGGTTAGAAAAGCTTCTGTTTTTCTGTAATGCTGAGTGAGAATTATTTGAAAAACTTATTATCATTGCAGCTTTATGATGATTAGAAAATGTTTACTACATTCCTACTTGCCACTTTTCATGAAACTGGGTGCTTTGGGTATTATTGTGTATTTGACCTTGTTGGTCTCCCATGTACAGACTAAATGCTGCCTTGGCAAATCAAGGGATTTCATCCACAGGAGTAAAGCATGTGCTCCTCATTTATTCATTCATTCAGCAAATGCTTGGTGAATGCCTACTATGTTATGGGTACTGTTCTAGGTGGTAGGGATAGTGGTGGACAAAACAAGTAAAATCCGTGCCTTACATTCTAGTAGGGTAACATACACCGTAACAAGTCATTTATTTACTATTTACATATATTGGGAGGTCATTATTTTTAAAGGAAACCTTTACAACTTTCTCTCCTTTTCACAGTGGAGATATGTGTGTTTGTGTAAAAACAGGCCTTTGTAACCTCTTGGACCCCACGATGGCTTCACCTGGCTCTAGGAGCATGTACTGCATGGATAACTGGAATATATCTAAACGCGGCAGGGCGGTAAATGGAGAGGTTCTGCCTTTCTGTGGGGAGGGCGAGGGCAGCGCAGATCCCACGCAAATCTGTGCATCCAAAAGGGATAGAACCTCTCCTGGAAAACAGTCACCACATCAAATTTTGTACCCAACATTAGGGGTTCAAGATCCCCCACTGAAGATCCACTGAACCTGCTGTTCAGTGATACAGCAAGCAGGCGACTTGTGTGAGAAGCGCCGGATCTGCAGAGGCTGGAAGGGGAAGCACCACAGTTACGGCCCTTTGCAGCGCACAGACCTGAGTGTGGATCTTGATTCAGCGCTGTAGTAGCTTCACAAACCTGGAGAAGTCGCTCAGCTCTCAGGGCCTCAGTGTCTCCTTTTTAAATGGACATGGCGATCGCACTCACCTCGGAAGGCTGTGCAGACGCGTGGGGGGTCTGTGCGGACTCCAGGGACAGGCCCGGGCCCCAGCAGGAGCCGAGCGATCATGGTGCGCTCACCACCGGTGACCGCTGCTGCTGGACATGGGGGTTCATGGGCCCTGGCAGCTGCAAAGGGGACCTGGAGGCCACAAGACCTCCCCACGCCCACCTATCCCACCCTGTCAGGACCACTATCTTGGAAATAAGGAAGTTCTTACCCCAAAAGACTCATCAAGAAAAACCTCTCATTAAAAGCAAAGACTGCTAGGCTGATGCCCAGGGCGCTCAGCTCCACGGCGGCTGTGATGAGTGACGTCCGGCGAGTCGTTTGCCCATTGCTGGAAAACACGGCGACTCTCCTCACGCTGGCTCCTGCATGCGTCCGCCTGAAGACATTCCGGGCCACAGACCTCATCGCTTCACCCATGTCTCGGGCTTCCCTAGGGGGTCGGTAGATGTGTTTGGTCCATCTGTTCTAATGTGTTGTTCAGTGCCTCTGTGTCCTTACTTATCTTCTGTCTGGTTGATCTGTCCTTCAGAGTGAGTGGAGTGCTGAAGTCTCCTAGAACGAATGCATTGCATTCTGTGTCCCCTTTTAATTCTGTTAGTATTTGTTTCACATATGCTGGTGATCCTGTGTTGGGAGCATAGATATTTATAATGGTTATAGCCTCTTGTTGGACTGCCCCCTTTATCATTATGTAATGTTCTTCTGTCTCTTGTGACTTTCTTTGTTTTGAAGTCTATTTTGTCTGATACAAGTACTGCAACTCCTGCTTTTTTCTCTCTGTTAGTTGCATGAAATATCTTTTTCCATCCCTTCACTTTTAGTCTGTGTATGTCTTTGGGTTTAAAGTGAGTCTCTTACAGGCAGCATATAGATGGGTCTTGTTTTTTTAATCCATTCAGTGACTCTATGTCTTTTGATTGGTGCATTCAGTCCATTTACATTTAGGGTGATTATCGATAGGTATGTACTTATTGCCATTGCAGGTTTTACATTCATGGTTACCAAAGGTTCAAGGTTAGCTTCCTCACTATCTAAGAGTCTAACTTAACTCACTTAATATGCTATTGCAAACACAATCAAAAGGTTCTTTTCTTTTTCTCCTCCTTTTTCTTCCTCCTCCATTCTTTATATATTAGGTATCATATTCTGTACTATCCCTTGATTGACTTTGGGGATAGTTAATTTAATTTTGCATTTGCTTAGTAATTAACTGTTTTACTTTCTTTACTGTGGTTTTATTACCTCTGGTGGCAGCTATTAAACCTTAGGAACACTTCCATCTATAGCAGTCCCTCCAAAATACACTGTGGAGATGGTTTGTGGGAGGTGAATTCTCTCAGCTTTTGCTTATCTGGAAATTGTTGAATCCTTCCTTCAAATTTAAATGATAATCTTGCCAGATAAAGTGTTCTTGGTTCCAGGCCCTTCTGCTTCATGGCATTAAATACATCATGCCACTCCCTTCTGGCCTGTAAGGTTTCTGCTGAGAAGTCTGATGTTAGCCTGATGGGCTTTCCTTTGTATGTGATTTTTATTTCTCTCTCTGGCTGCTTTTAATAGTCTGTCCTTATCCTTGATCTTTGCCATTTTAATTACTATGTGTCTTGGTGTTGTCTTCCTTGGGTCCCTTGTGTAGGGGGATCTGTGGATCTCCATGGCCTGACAGACTATATCCTTCCCCAGATTGGTGAAGTTTTCAGCAATTACCTCCTCAAAGACACTTTCTATCCCTTTCTCTCTCTCTTCTTCTTCTTCTGGTATCCCTATAATGTGAATATTTTTCCCTTTGGATTGTTCACACAGTTCTCTCAATATTCTTTCATTCTTAGAGATCCTTTCTTCTCTCTGTGCCTCAGCTTCTTTGTATTCCTCTTCTCTAGTTTCTATTTCATTTTTCATCTCCTCCACCGTATCCAACCTGCTTTTAGTACCACCCATTGTGCTCTTCAATGATTGGATCTCTGACCAGAATTCATTCCTGAGTTCTTGGATATCTTTCCATACCTCCATTAGCATGCTGATGATTTTTATTTTGAACTCCCTTTCAGGAAGAGTCAAAGGTCCATGTTATGTAAATCTTTCTCCAGAGTTATATTAATTTTACTCTGGACCAGGTTCCTTTGGCGTTTCATATTTGTATATGGCACCTTCTAGTGCCCAGAAGCTCCACTCTCTGGAGCTGCTCAGCCCCTGAAGCAATGTCAGGGGTCGCAGGGGAGCGGTATTGGTGCCTGGGGGCAGGAAAGTGCTGTTTCCTGCTTCCCTGCTGCTGTGCCTGTCTCCACTGCCTGAACCAGTGGTCTGAGCACACAGGTATAAGCTTTTGTCCCAGAGTAGCCGGATATGGATCCCTGCTTTCCACAAGTGACTGGAATCTCAGACTCTCCAGGTATTCTGCCTGTCTTAGCTTTCCAACCCCCTAATCACACGAGTATCATGAAAGCACCACGAAATGTAGGTTTGTGCTCCCAGAGCAGATCTCTGGAGTTAGGTATTCAGCAGTCCCAGGCCTCCACTCTGTCCCTGCTCTGTTTCTCTTCCTCTTGCAAGTGGCCTGGGTGGGAGAAGGGCTTGGGTCCCGCCAGGCCACAGCTTTGGTACGTTACCCTGTTCTGTGAGGTCTGCTCTTTTCTCCAGGTGTATGCAGTCTGGGGCCATCCTCTTTCCTGTTGCTCCCTCAGGATTAGTTGTATTAATTATATTTTCAAATTGCATGCAGTTTTAGGAGGAAGCGTCCGTCTCACCTCTCACGCCGCCATCTTTCTGCTTTGTTTTCTTTATTGTGAGGATTATTCCTAGTAAATTGGGCCAGGCTTACGGCCCCAGGTTGCTGAGCGGTACTGAAATGCGGTGGCTTCCCACTGACTGGATCCTCAGCTGGCCATGGGCTCCCCACGAGGCAGCAGCATGACACCAGTCTCCACACTTAGAGCCCTCCATGCGGGCTGTGGGCCCCAAGAACCCTCTGCAAGTGCGTGCTGACGTACAGCACTTCCTCCAGTGGTTTCCCGTGTAAGGATTTCTAAGTGTTAATGGATCAGGAGATTGAGGGTCAAGAAGTCAACTATCTTGTTAAGGCTTCATGTCTATGGCAGCGCTTGGCTGGCTGACTCCAGAGCATGTACTTGAAATCACAACTGCTGCTCGGATTAAGAGCTGGCTTGGTTCGAAGGGGAGAGAGATGCAGGCTGAATGCTTCCTGAGACTGTGTCACATCAAATGGAGCACACAAGTGGTTTCAGTTCCTCCACATCTATCTAGTCTCATAATTTGATTGATGAACCAAGTGAGAGTTTGGATTCTAGGGTCAAAGACTGAGACTGAAAACTTCTCCAGAGTGTGGCACCATGAAGCTATGCCTGCGGTGCTTTGCCCACTTCCCTTTCCACGCACTAGGCACTGGGCTTCAGGTGTGGAGAAAAGCCCTCGCAGACAAAGCTGCCTTGCCCTGCATGGGGGTAGACAGGAGCCTGCCCAACTCCCTGCCACTGATGAACACGTGCCAGCACCACGGACACAAGCCTGCACCCTCCTGCCCCAAAGGAGGTTACACTCAGGATGCAGACAAGGAAGAGGGAAAAGATAAGTAACACATTTTCCCCCAAAACTACCAAAAAGCCATATGAACAAAATCCCACCTACCCCTTCTATAGGAAAATAAAGTTGAAAGAGAAATTTCAAAGAAATCCATGAAAAAGAAAATCACTGTTCGTGGGCTGAGGGCCACAAAAACTTACAGGGTCTCCATCGTCTCCCCTGTATCCTCTGCTGCCTTTCAGACCCGGAAAACCCTGAGAAGAAAGAGAGAAAAAAAAATGTTCACTGTCTCCCTGCAAGTGAGACTTGTGAAATCATCAGGCTCTGTAGGCAAGTCCCCCCTTGAATGCGGTATCATTTTGTGGGGGTGGCTGTGAGCGTGGGGAGAGTCTGACAGCCCTGGAGCCTGCATCTGTCCGCGCTCGGCTTGGAAGCCGTTGCAGAGCCACCCACCCTGGGACCCAGCCTGCAGCTCAGGGAGTCGGGGCCAGTCCTGAGGATCTGTGTGTGGAGCACAGCTGTGGCCCCAACAGCCCATGCGGCAGGCATTTCAGTAACATTACCAAAGACACTGTAATTTCTTCTGCTTTTTTGAGAGCTCGAGGAAGAATGAGCATGTCTCCCAAAAATGAGGTACATATATTCAAATTGTGATTAGCTCACCTCCTGCTGCAATGTGTTTGCGCGGCCTCACGGCCTGTGGCCCAGATTCAGCCTGAGGTGTGTTCCTTCACCCCCTAGTGCAGGTCCTGGCTTCCTGCCCAGGATGCCCAGGGGCTGTGCTCTGGAAATAGAGCTCCAATGTCGACTTGGGCAAAGTAATGAGAGGGAAAGCCATGCTGATCAAAGCATCACAACCCAGTAAAGCAGCCAAGGTAAATCATGTATCGTTCCACAAGGGTGGACAGCACAGAACTCATGACCAGATACTGCATTTGATCTCTTAACAACAAAAAGAGTAGACTCCTTTTAATTTTGATATCTAAAACATATTGGAAAAGCTCATTCAATTACATAAAATACAAAGGCATAGACCAATTATATGCAAGATGAACATACAGGAAGCCACCACCCAGCCCAAGAAACAGGACATCACAGGTACCCAGGTCCTGTACCTTCCCAAACACAGCCCGCACCTCGCCTCCACCCCAATCCCTATCTTTATAATACTTTCTTGACTTTTTTTCATACTTAACTACATAATTATACATCCCTGAACACAATAAGTTAGTTTTGCCTGCCTTCAAACTTTTTGTAAGTGGAATCATATGTATTGTCCTGTGTTTTTGCTTTTGGGGGCCATTCCTGTCCTTGTGAAGTTTATGCCTGTTGTATGCAGCTGTGGTTCATTCATTTTCATCACCACCAAGTGAAGGTACTGTGACACTTTATCCAAGGTCTTGTTTAAGGGCTATTCATCTGCAGGGCTGTGTTCTCTTAGCAGTTCAATTTCACCCCATTGCTGATGGAGCACAACTCTCCCCACTATTTCTAATACCTCTGTCACCTTTGAAACTGTCTGCAGTTGGTACAAAAGTATAAACTACAAAAGCAGGGAACAGCATCCCCAAGGAGGCTGACACAAAGGAGCTGCTCTGCACCATATCCTGACCTGGCTCCCACCCCACCGAAGTCCCCTGGACCTGCCAAGGCAATGCCATCTGCATCCAGCAGAGGCTGCAAACTCACTCACTCAGTCTATCCCACCCCTGCCAAATCAAGGCCCACCCAGTAAAATCACTTCACAGCCTTCAAGGCTAGTGGTCCTCGGGTCCTGTGAGGTCCTGGAGTCTCTGAACTCTTGCAGAAGGTACAGCAGCAAGTCCTCTCTGCAATGTTTCCCTGGAAGAAGCAAACCTGAGTGAGCTGCAATCACAGGAACTTGGATATACAAGGATTATATTCACACTGATCCTAACCCACCACCCACACATCTGTCCTCTCTCTGTGGGCGGTGGGCTGCACAGTAAGAGGTGCTTTTTGACTTAATACTGAAGAAGGCCACCAAGCTAGCACCCGCTTAGCCACAGGACCTTGTCGTGGCAATGCCCTCTCTCTGCAGAAAGGTGCCCACCACACAAGCAACTGTGGGCCAAGTTTGCAGAAGACTGTTGGCTCCTAGGATGGCTGCCTGTGTTCTGGGTTTCTGTGGCTTAAACGATTGGGGCTTTTCTATTTGATTAGGGGTTGGTTAGTTTTTTGGTTCTCTCTGCGTTCATTTGCTGAGATGACAAAGGAGGACAGGACACACAGAAAAGCACGGTGCCCTGGTGTTCCACGCTCTGCGCACTAAACACCACGCACCTAGTCCGGCGGGAGGCAAACTAGGCAGTCTGTGGGAGAGCTCATCATGATTCCGACTTCGTCCTCATGACATTTTGAATAACTGGGTTTTTTGTTCAACGACTAACCAGATACTGTGCTAGCATTGTGCCCAGTTCTCTCATTCCAATGGTCAAGTGAGTCCTGTAATCAAATCCTTTTTCGAATTCAAAACTGGAAAAATCCTCTTGAGCAGTTGTGTTTCAGGGAGACCACCAGCAGAGCATCAAGCCCTAGGAAGTGAAAATTACAGATATAAAACCAAAGGGATTGTACATGAAAAAGAAGAAAAGCCCATCATATTTCTACTCAATGAATGTTATTCAAAGAATCAGAAAGGGGAAAAAGAAAAGCAGCAGTGCTCTTGACACATGAACCGGAGGACAGGCTGGCTGCACTTTCGGCACGTGCACGGGGCTCTGGTCCCTGACTTGGCATGAAATCTCCAAGAAACAGTGAGCAGCTACTTAGGTATCTTACAGAACAACACTAGCAGAATGCTGTGTTACATTTTTTTTAAGAAAAAGCATTCTTCATCCTCAGAGTTTTTCTGAATGTAAATTAATGATAGCTTTTAAGTCCTCTCCATTGCCAACCCCCTGGGAGCCCAGGCCCTGGGAGCCTGTGGAAAGCCCAGAATGACTCTGGTTGTACTAGAGGACATGAGAGTCACAGGACAGACACACTCTTTCCCTGCAGAGGTCTGGCCTCTCAGGAGAGGTGGGCAAGAACCAGACAGTTGCTAAGAGAAGCAGTAAGTGCTCTCAAAGGCCAAATTAGGGTGCGATGAAGGCCCAAAGGAGAAGGAAGCTCTAGCTCAGTCCGGAAGATCATGAAAGGTTCCTGCAAACTGCGATGTCTAAGCTGATCCTAAAGGGATGAAGAGAAGTTCGTCCAAGGAAAGAAGCACAGCCGGGGGTGTGGAGAGAAGATGTGGGAGGAGCTGGGAGTGGGGCCGGCTTCTGGCAGAAGGAGAGTGTGTCCGAGGACCTGCAGGAAGAGGCAGGGAAGGGGAGGTGACTAGTGCCAGGGAGGTAAGGCTAGAGAGGGCTGCAGGGCCTGAGGGCATCTGATAGGAGAAGAACACAGAGAAGGGAAGGTGTCACAGCCAGCAATAAGGCAGGAGGTTCTGCGGCCTCCGGGGAGGCTGCCCGTGGACTGATGCCCAGAAGCCAGTGAGGGCCTGCCCCTGGGAGCTCTCAGACAAGGCACCCATTGGACCAGCAGTGGGCCTCTCCACTGCACAGCACTCTCAACTCCTGCGTTTAGCTTCCAGCTTGGCCTGAAACTATGACACGGACGGGGTGGTAGACTGAGAAAGGCTTTTCAGAATCCATGCTGCCATCATTCACATGGTCAACCAGAAACAGCAGGAAGCGTCCCAGGTTGGGTTCACTGGAGGCGGACCTGAGAGGACCTGGGTGCGTGCAGCTGCGTGGGAGAGTGGGGAGGAGGGAAGGGCAGGGCCGCTGTAAGCAAGGACATGTCTCATTGAGGTCTTCGCTTGGCATGATTCATGGAGGACTCTAGAGCGTAAATGGCATCAGAGTTGACACATGTGAGGTGAGGGTCCTGAGCTTTCATACCCCTACCTCACTGACTGCCCCCCAGCACCATCAGGTGGGGCATGGTACAACCCCACCCCCACCCCAAGCACCAGGTAACAGTTCAGGTCAATCAAGGGCACAGGTCTGTACAAGGTCAGGTGCAAGCACTTGGTCATTGCATCTGCAGCCTTGGAGGTGGGTATGTGGCGTTGGCCAGAGCACCAACTGCATCTGCGACAAGCAGCCCAACAGACCCCAGATCCAGATCATGGGAACAGGTACATCTGTGCAGCCCATTCCATGCCGCCTCATTTAAATTTTCAACTCAGTACCTGCTTCCCTGAGCCTGTCCGATTGATTTTCTAGCATTGGGATGCTTTCACCCCCAAACCATCTGAAAAGATGAGCAGCACCTAGGGAAAGAGGAAATCAGAGAAAGGGGTGATGTGAAAATGAAATTCATGTTGGGGAGGAAGAGACAAATGCAAGAACGGGGAGATAGAAGACAAAATGTGACCAGGTTTCCTGTCCTCGGGATGCAGATTTATCCTCAAACGTGTCCCACAGAGACTGCAAGAACTCTGCATTCAGATGACTCGGCCCATTGAAGGTGACTTGCAGCAGGTGGTCAAATATCCTTATCTGGGAGATTTGGAACCTGGCAGGGAGTTCTTGGTCATTGTTCACCTTAAAGGCCATGCTCACCTGCACCTCTGCGCCTGCCCCACAGTTCCCTCCCCTGATGGAGGTGAGGCCCTCTAAGATGCCTGGGAGGTATGATTCCAGCTGAGGGTGGCTGTCAACAAATGCTGCCTGAGCCCATGAGTGGAGAGGTCGAACCTGACCACTATGTCCACAAAGCAATGAGGAAACCAAGGGAAACAAGGCCAGATTAATGAGCAGACAGGAGCAAGGAGGGGCGGATTAGGTAAGAAAATGGAGGGGGCTCATGGAAGGCCAAAAGGGCCCAAGAAGGAAGATACTGGCTGTTCAACCAGCATATGATACAGGTGCTTCCTCTGTCCCCTTTACATTTTTCAAGTTCTAGTAACTGAAGCTCCAGTGTGGTCTAGTCTCGAGCTCAGCAGCTGGCTCGCTGTGTGTGTGTGTGTGTGTGTGTGTGTGTGTGTGTGTGTGCGCGCATGTGTATTTTATTCTTCAGTGCTTCATATAATCATAACATTTAAATATTTGAATTGCCCTGAGAGGTGATTCAATGCAGAGGCCATGAACTCACATGGCTGGAAAGGCCCGGTGGGTGGAGTAGATGCATGGGGAGTGCAGAGAGGGAAGAGGCTGATTGGGGGGCAGGGCCACCTGTTCACTGTTCAGCTGCAGCCGAGAGAAGCCAGGTGGGAAAGGGCACCCAACATTGTTAGATCACCAGATTTTTCAAAGAGAAACCTGAAACCTACATTTGTAATGTAAAATCTTCCGTTTGTAAAAGCTGTCATTGATTTAACAGTTGTCAACACCAACAATTGAACACAGTTAAGCTGCAAGCTGCCATTTGGTTACCCTTGCCTCTCTCCACTTGCTCATTTTTCACACAAGAAGACAGTGAATCATGGAGGCTGCGGCTGAAGTGGTATCAGAACCCTGGCTTTCTGCCTCCAGGCCCAGGGTTTTTCCACCACTATAGTTTGCCTCCAGAGAAGCACCCTAAGCGGGACATAAAAGGTCTGGAAAGAAGTGGCTCCAAGCATAACAACACTAGAAATAGAGGCACTCTGAGGGATTTCTGTGTGAGTCCCACAAGATGCTATTATTCACGCTACTTCCAGCCACGCTGTCCTCCCAACTCCCAGACTGAATGCACAGAACCTGAGTCCCACATGGCTACTCTTGTCTGGAGCTCAGCAGCAATATCCACATAGGATGGGTCACTTCTCCCCTTCCTCTTCTTCCCCGTGACCTCACCTGACTCATTAATCACCCAACTGGACTCTGCAGCCATTTGTTATTGACCTCTGGAAATTAAGCAATCCCTAAGGACAATTCAAATCATTACTATGCTATGATTATTAAGAAATGAATGCCATTATTAAAAGAAGAAAACATACACACACACACCCTATATCTCTTACAAGATAGCAGAGTTCAAATAGTAAAACCTCCAGTCAGCACACATTTACTTTACCTTTGTCTACTGGATGCAAAGCATTCTCTGGTGCTTCCAGAATAGGAAGGGGAGGAAATGGGAGCCTGAGCTCTGGTGCTAAGGGACACATAAACACTGGACGGCAGTAAGGGGGCAGGATGACCATGGGGCACACCCCAGGGCCCCCCTCAGCCTCTGTACCCTTTTTCTTGTCTCTGAGAGAAGCTGACTGATCCCAGACTTCCTGGAAACAGAGAAAAAGTCTATTCTCACTGCACACTATTCTAAAAATATGTTCAGTTGGAGCTAGTCCATAAGACACCTTGGGAAATGGGGAAATGGGAAAGTTGCAATTAAATAAAAATAAAGAACAAGAAAACACTTACTGGTTTTCCCACAGCTCTGGTAGATTTCACGGACCATTCTGTTTTTCACATCCACATTCTTCAATTTACTGAAGTCTTGAAAAGTGATTATTTTTTCAGGATTGCCTGTTATTGGCAGAAGCTGTTCCTTATGAACATCTCCTATGCCCAAAACCAGGACACAAATTTCATGTTTTTTCAGGATTTCTACTGCATCTGTCACATTATAGAAGGGATCCGTGGATGTGATAACAACCAAAGTTTGAGGGACTCCAGAATTCATTCTCCCTCCAGCAGATGATTCAAACATGACACTCACTTGTTTCAGGGCCAGGTCGATTCGTGGAAATCCATTGCTTTTGATGACAGTTTGAACTCAAGTCTTCTATTGGGTTGTAATCAGTGTATTTTCCAACTGAATAATTTCTTGGTACTGGCCCCCAAATGGAGCCATCCCAATTTTAATTTTTTGAGACTGAATGTCAAAATTATCAATTAAGTCTGACAAGAAAGTTGTCATAGTAACTCAAACTCAGAGCCATCAAAAAAGAAAATCACGTCAGCTTCTTGAAGGTTACAGCCTATAACTGGAAAAAATAAATCAATTATTTTCCTTATCAATCATTCTAAATTTTTCCTTTACTCAAACAGTTAAATTGCTTCACTAAATCTCCACATTAACAGCAAATTGAGGTAAGTTAACAGAAGAATCACAGATTGACCCTGAAAGAGAACGAAAAATAGCAAGGAGAAAGATAATAGACTTTGTTACAAATATTAATTATTTTCATGGTTCATTTGAAAAGACATGGAAAGCTGCTCAGAAAAAGGCACAAGTTTGAATAGACTGAATATATTCATTGAAAGATAATGACAAAGGCCAGAAATCCCTTCAGCACACCCAGATCAGAAGGAGTTAGGCAGATAAAGGAGGTGAGCGGGTGATTGGAAGAAACCAGTCTCTCCTTTCCCCGGTGATTGCCCTAAAGCAGGCCTTAGCTAAGCCTTTCCTTCCCAGTATCACCTAGTTCAGCACAGGTCAGGATAGGGGCTGGGTAAGACATTTGTGTGACCAGTAGATTTTGAATCCTGCCTCTGCCGCTTCCTGGCTGTGTGGCCTCGGGCAGTGTACTCGCTCTCTGCTTCAGACAGCAGTGGAGAAAACGGATATAAGTCAAGTGAAGAGAGAGAGAATTAAGTGCACTTCAAAATGGTTCTTGAATGCTCCACATCGCCAGTCGTCAGAGAAATGCAAATTAAAACCGCAATGAGCTATCGTCACCTCACACCAGTAAGGATGGCCAACGTCGGAAAGACTAAGAACAACAAATGCTGGCAAGGATGTGGAGAAAGGGGAACCCTCCTACACTGCTGGTGGGGATGTAAATTAGTTCAAACATTGTGGAAAGCAGTATGCAGGTTCCTCAAAAACTCGAAATAGATATACCATTTGACCCAGGAATTCCACTTCTAGGAATTTACCCTAAGAATGCAGCAGCCCAGTTTGAGAAAAGACAGATGCACCCCTATGTTTACTGCCACATTATTCACAATAGCCAAGATATGGAAACAACCTAGGTGTCCATCAGTAGATGAATGGATAAAGAAGAGGTGGCACATAATACACAATGGAGTTATTATTCAGCCATAAGAAGAAAACAAATTTTATCATTTGCAACAACATGGGTGGAGCTAGAGGGTATTAAGCTCCGTGAAATAAGCCAGGCGGAGAAAGACAAGTACTGAATGATTTCACTCATATGTGGAGCATGAGAACAAAGAAAAACTGAAGGAACAAAACAGCAGCAGAATCACAGAACCCAAGAATGGACTCACAGTTACCAAAGGGAAAGGGACTGGGGAGGAGGGGTGGGAAGGGAGGGAGAAGGGC